TTGCAGAAAAAACAAGTGTAATTTACCCATAACTTTATGTGCAGACATAGATAGATCAGTCTAACAAATCCAGAGATGACTGGAATAAACTGAATAGAAAAATGTGTGTGTGGAAGTTGTAGGAGTTGTAATGAAGAAGATGACAAGATATGTAGATAAACTGAAAAATAATGGAAAAAAGAAATTTATATCTATCTATCTATCTATACTATATATATAATAGAATGTAGTAGTGTTTCCAAAAGCCTTCAAAATGTTATTCTAAAATTCTCATAATTTTAAAAAATACGTGACAGCTCTCTTTTTAGTTTATAGTTCATTTCCTCCCCTCTCAAAGACTTTTGAAACAATAAAAACTCTTAACAAACCCATCCATAAAAGCTGTCAAAAAAAAAAAATCAAGACTTTCACTCTCCCACAACTCCTACAATAGATACATATCCCTCTCCCACGTTACTCTAAAAAATACGTGGCAGCTCTCTTTTTAGTTTATAGTTCATTTCCTCCCATCTCAAAGACTTTTGAAACAATAAAAACTCTTAACAAACCCATCCATAAAAGCTGTCAAAAAAAAAATAAAATCAAGACTTTCACTCTCCCACAACTCCTACAATAGATACATATCCCTCTCCCACGTTACTCTCCCACCTCAAACAAATTTAAAAACAAAAAACACCCATCTATCCATATCCTTATAACAGATAGATATAAAGACTTTCACTCTTCCACAACTCCTACAATAGATACATATCTAAGAGATACATATCCCTCTCCCACGTTACTCTCCCACGTCAAACAAATCTAAAATATACTTCATTAACTTACTTCTTCAACAGTAAACATTAGCAGTCCTCGAATTCAGCAGTCCGCCTCTCGATCGAATGCATGTCTCGGTTCTTCTTTTTCTTTTTCTTTTTCTTTTGCTTTACTAATTTATTTTTTGTTCCAACCATTTGTGATTTTGTATTTTGACTATAAATATTGCACCATTTGTGATTTTGTATTTTCATTATAAAGATTGCAGAAAAAGCAAATGTAATTTACCCATAACTTTACGTGCAGACATAGGCAGATCAGTCTAACAAATCCAGAGATGACTGGAATAAACTGAATAGAGAAATGTGTGTGTGAAAGTTGTAGGAGTTGTAGATTTTTATTTTTTTTTTGTTTTAAATTGAGATTGAGAGTGAGATAGATATTATTGTGAATGATGGATATAGATGAATATTTTATTATTTTGGGATAAGTATTATTAGAAGGAGTGAGAAGGCTTGAAGAGTGGGAAGGGAGATAAAGGGAAGTGCCACGTAATATTTTTTTTTTCAAAATTATGAGAATTTAAGATTCAAATTTTAAAATCGTTTGACTTAATAATTACATTTGGTTATATATATAGTATAAATTTGAGGATGTTTAAATATTGTATGTGAGATCTATTTTGTCATTGCTAATGAAGCGTCCCACTTTATCATATAAAGGTTAAGGTAGAGATATTAACACTTAAAATTTTATTAAAAATTAGGTTAAATTTGATTGTATTTTCGTAACTTATTTTATAAAATAAAATTTAAAAATATAATTTTGACCTTAAAATTTTATTTCCGTTCAAAAAAGAAAAATAATATGATAAAAATAATATTTTTAAAACTTTTTACCAAATTATTTTTTAAAAACAATTTATGTAAACCAGTCAAATGGTAATCAACTAGATTTTAAATATTCCTAATATTATTGTCAATATAAATATTCAAAATCAAATGATAAGTCTAGCATTATTTAATTAATTATTTATCTTTTGAAAAATGCTATAGACCCCAAATAATTTATTAAATTTTTTATCAAATCTCTTACATAGGTGTGTTTCTAAGGTAGCATTTGGTAACGTTTACATTTTTTGTTTATGTTTACAGAAATTTTATAAACTGGTTTTTGTTTATTTTTAAAAAAACATAAACTACAAACGCGTTTGGTTTGAAAAATGCTATAAACCCCAAATAATCTATTAAATTTTTACCAAATCTCTTACATAGGTGTGTTTCTAAGGTAGCGTTTGGTAACATTTACATTTTTGATTTATGTTTACAGCAATTTTATAAACTGATTTTTGTTTATTTTTAAAAAACATAAACTACAAACGCGTCTGGTTTAAACAAAATATTTGAAATTTTTTAAAAACATAAACTAAAAAATATGTTTGTTCAGGCCTAAAATATTTATATTTTTTTATTATTATTTATGACAATGGGATTATGCATATTATAATTGAAAAAAAAAATTAATTGAAATAAAAATTAATTGGAAAAAAATTGATTGAAAAAAAAATTAATTGAAAAAAAATTATTGGAAAAAAATTAATTGAAAAAAACAATAATTGTAAAAAAAATTTGTTAGTCAATTTTTTAAATTTCTGTTTAAAACCCAACATAAACTCATTTTTTGAGTTTACGTTTTTTCCTCAAATTTATAAACTAAGACAACTATTTATAAACCAAAAAAATTATCAAACAAGTTTTATGATAGTTTTTAAAAATTTTGTAAATATAAACTGAAAACGAAATGGTTACCAAATAGGCTCTACACCTCTTACATAGGTGTGGGTCCCACACCTATGTAAGAGGTAGGGGAGAGTAATGGATATACCGATCCACCCAAACCAACTGAACCGAACCGATCTGCCACATTTTGGAGGATGCGTGATGATGAGCGGACGGTTGCAGATTGATTTTTTTCCAATCCGTCTAGTTTTGGACTGATAGTGAATTTGAGGTTCATTTGACCGCAACTGAACCATCAAATCGCGAACACCCATATTAATTTGTAAGATTTTGTGTTTTCAATTTATTTAGATATTCTATTTGTGTTTTCAATTGAAAAAGAATTTAAATATTTTGTTGAAAAATATTTTCAACTTGAATATATTTTTTGAATTGAAAAAAAAATTTATTATTTATTTATATTGTTTGGTTTTTAAATCTAATTCTAAAAATAATAAATAAAAGAGATGACATATACTGGTTAGTTTTTATTTTAAAAAACAGATATAGATGTAACAATACAGAGACATACAATCTCTACTACTGCTCTGTTCATGGTTTTGGTGGTTTGAACTGTTTTTATTTTTAATAATCACTTATTGTAATACTTTATGTGAATGAGACATGCTGTGATTTTAATATGTGGATGATGCATGCAATGATTATAATACTTTTTTAAGTCATTGATTGCAATATTATTATTATTATTTTATTTTTTTGAGGAAGTGCATAAGTTGAATTATGTTGGAAATTTATAAAATTTTAAACAGTCAAACCGATTCGCATCCATTCGCCAATCCGCCCAATCCCCATCTGTCGGATTGGCGAACGGATGAGTATTGATTTTCTCCAACCAGCCAATCTAGCAGACGAATGACGGATTGGAGATTTCGTAGCCGCAACCGACTCGCGCCCACCCTAGTAAGAGGTTTGGTAAAATATTTGGTAGATTATTTAGGGAGTAATGCTAGAGACCTCAAAAGTTCTATTAAATTTCTACCAAATGTCTTACAGTGAGACCCACATATGAGTCGACATTTGGTAAAAAATTTAGTAAAATTTTTAGGATCTCTAACATTTTGTTATTTTGAGTCTTTAGCATTACTCTTATCTTTGTAGGTCTGAATTTAGTAGTTGGTGCATTATTTGACTTTTTGGTTAAAAAAGTAGAGAAAAAAAAGATGTAAATTTGTGATAATTTTTTGAATTTTTATGAAAAGATGTGTAATAAAATATTGTAATAAAATCAAAATGACCATTTTATCCTTTTGACTTTTAGACTTTTTGGGTAGTTAAATTCGAAAAACAAAATAATAATTCTGCCCTCATAACTTCTTTCATAAGTTACCCTTAAATAGTATTGATTTTTTAATTTTTTTTAATAATTTTTTAATCTTTTTGACTTTTCTAGGTTATTTCAAACAAAGCCTTACTTACGTCAAATATAGGAATGTTAATGAAGCCAATGTGTGTGATTAGATGGGTTAAGTATGATGTTGGTTAAGGTTCGGCTCAGATTATAGCTCCCAATTTTTTTAAGACTGGAAATAAATTATTTGCCAAAACGAATTGCTGTGGTGAACATATGGCCCATTATTTTAGAGTGGGCCTTTAAAACGGACTTGGAAATACTGGTCTTTAATTCACTACAGTCTGTGCTCCAGTTTCCACTAAATATTGGCTTCAATAGTTCCAGACAGTCCGAGGACGATGTAGCATTTTTTAGGGGAAAATACACGTGTGTTTGAAAAAATTCTTATAAACTGATAAAAAAGTTCAAGATTTTAATTGTATTAATATTTATAAATTTCACCATTAATTTGTAATTTTCTTTTTCAAAATCCCACTTATATGTATTTTCTCTTATTTTTTTATGTGATGTTTAAATCAAAGCAAAGCAAACTTTTTGAGTGGGATAGATTTTACATTAAATAAAATTTTCAACATGACTCAAAGTTGTAAAATCATGTCTAATCTTCTTTTTGAATTTTAATTTTTCTATCATATATTTCATTTCGAGTGTACAAAATTCAATGACAGAGTCTGACATAATCGATCAATTAAGGCCTCGTTTGAAAATATGTTATTTTAGTAATTTTTTTATTTTTTGGCTAAAATATGAGGTAAAAATATTAGTATGTTTGGAATGACTTTTTGATTTTTTACAAAAATATGCACAAAAAAATAGAAAGAAAATTGAATCTTTAACTTTTTATAATAATTATAGATTTTTTGATTTTTTTAATAATTTATTGACTTTTAAATTAAAACTATCGCATGCCAAACTACGCCTAAATATGTGGATCTTATCACTTGTAAAGGAATGTTATATATGATCGGATTATGTGGGAAAAAAAAAAATTCCAATATACTTTTTTAAAGTCCATAGATTTTTGTATCGCTAGTAACTAGAGTTTGATTACAGCTCTCCAAGTTTGAAAACACTAAAACTAAAACATTACAACATCTCCAAAAACCCCAAGTCAATAGCAGTAGCGAAAAAAAAAAAAAAAACTTCCATATAATTAACGGTCTGATAAAAGTCCCAAAATTATATGATCTCTGTTATGCAATCACTAAACCTAAGTATTAACTATTCACATGGGGAATGGATCAACAGAAAACTCCACAACTGATCTGAGCTCATCCCAATCCCCAAACTTGATGAACTCGTTCACATCGTGACTGTAAAAGCTCGAGTAAGTTCCGGTGGTCGGAGTTTGATGAGATATGGAGCTCAACTGCCCTACCATCCTCTGGTTTGTTTCACCCAAATGGCTAGCAAAGAGCTTCTTCTCGTTCTGTCGAATCACCGGAGCTCTGAAGTCGATGTTGAAGCCTTCATGACTGTCTGACTCATCGATGCTGCAGGTTTTAGAACTCGCATCGACAGGGTTTCGTTTGGCAGAGAGTTCTCTCCAATCTGGTATGCACTTTCTGTAGGATACGTTTCGCTTTAAAATCCTACATAGTGTCCAAACTTCCTGCAAAAGCAATTGTCATGTTTGTTTAGTTACATCTCCTATAAATCTCTTATTAGTTGCTTGGATAGGAAATTTAATTTCGGACTAATAGTCTCGTCCGGAATAGGTCTAGATTAAACGTTAGTTAGAGTTGTAAATAGAAATATGAATCTATTTAATTTGACTAATAAAATGACCTTTAATAGGATCGCGTGGAGAAGAAGTATTCATGTAGCCGACTCTATTTGATGAGACTTAAAGTTAGATTTGATTTGATATTTACCAATAGTCTCGTTTGGATATGATTTTATAAGAACATATAGAATTTCACTGTCACGATTAAATGAAGAAAAAAAAATGGTAATTGCTTTATATATGTTTAATCTCTAACTTTTATTGTAAAATGTATAACATTAGTCATTTATCTTTTTAATGTTCAAAATATCAAAGTATAAAATTATATTGAAAATATAATACTTCACATATCAAAATGGTCCATACGTGTATGTAGTTCATGTCTCGGTAGAGTAAGTCAAGACTAACATATGAAAGATTAAAATGTTTCCTATTTGTGTTTCACATTATATAGTTCATGTCTAATGATTTTAAATGTGATATGATACAATTAAATTAAGGGACTGAATTGTCTCTAGTTGGGCAACTCAATTGGACCGTATAGTCCAGCCTATTTAGGGCCCATTTCGAGTCCGTCTTGATAGTCTGAACGTTAAATGTGTAAAATTTGGCGAATATTTCATTTCTACAAAAATCACGTTGATCAGATATCAATAACTACTTGATTAAAGTATATTTTTGTCAATAATTTTTTAAAAAATATATTTACCGTTGACATAAATGTGAGCTGATCAAACAGTGATAAATATTCGAATTAAAATGATTTTTTGCAAGAATGAAATACTCGATGAGTTCTACTTACTGCATAGTTCAGATTATCAATTTGGGTTTCGTGGTGAGCCCATAATGGCCTAATAACACGGTCTAATTTGATTTAGACCGAAAACAAATTTGGCCTTAAATTAATTCCTTTCCTAATTGAGAAACATTCTAAATGTAAGATAACAATATGAAATCATAAGAGAAATAAGTGCATAAAATCTTATAGCAAAACTAGAAACAAATTTATTCAATGAGGTGGGTCTACTGAATGTGTGGATGTCACCACATATGAGTGGTTGTGTTTAATTTTACAATTAAATCATGCACACATAAAAAAAAAAATGATTTATCTTCTAATTTGCCCCTAATTCTAATGATGTGAAATTAAGAGGACTAAAGATGAGAAGAGAGAGAAGAGCGTAAGATCACTTTATTTAAGTCTTAGTCATCTCATTGGAGATGGAATTGAGAAGTCTCAATTTAGAGATGCAGTGGGACTATAAAAAATTTAAAAAAGGTAGACTGATAATCCTATGTAATCTTGAAACAAACATCATCTTTAAGAAAAAGCATATATGACACAATACAAATGATTATACATACATAATACTCAAGTAATTTCAGATAAAACAAAGGCTTACGGCTTCTTGAGCGATGTTCTTAACATCGATGTGTTTGGTACTCTTGTCATCGTGATTCGGCCGGAAGGCGAAACTCATGCATCATCCAATCAGTTTTGGTCCCCTTTCCGGCGCTCCCGCGATAGTATACCAACGATTTCTTGAGTCCGATGCATTCTCGGCCTTCTCCACCGTTGGAATATATAGGCCTGTCGATACCGGTTGCCTTCCAAAACCCAGACCCAGTCACTCTATTAGGTCTTATGCTGTTTCTGTATTTTCTTCCTCTTTTACAGAAAAAGTACCATTCCTTGTCTCCCACATTACTAGCCTCTGCATATCCACCAAAAGAGAATATGAACACCATTAGAGATTGAAAGCAACAATTCTAACATGGTATGGGATTAGGTAATAGATCATATGTTTAAGTCTGGTCACACAAAAAAAAGAACGCATTGAGAATATAAATAATTAAATTATTCTTTTTTTTAGAGTTTAAATTTTTAGATGAGTTAGTAGTCAACAATTTAATTTAACAGAGCTAGTCTTTTCATTTAAAGGAAGAGTTTTGCCCTTTCGGGGTTTGGAAAAGTCTATACTTCTTGAACCAAAGTTATAAACAAAGTCCACTGTGAGGTTAACACTTCTTGAAATTGAGATGTATCTTGATGGGTGTTTTTTGTTTTGACATGAATGGCCTTAGTTCAATCTTAGTATTATTCTGTATAAAAATCATGTATAATTTTTTTATTTGTATAAGCGCATCAGAAGTAAAAAAGTTAGGGTTTTTATTTGACCATCTGCTAATCATATAAACATAAAATCATCTCCAATTTCTTAGACAAGGAGATGGGTGTTTTTTCTATCCTCTTCTAGCTGCTTATCATAAATACATAAAATAAAAATTGAAGAGCTTAGAGTTTTGAAGAAAAATTTCAAAGCTTTGCATCAATAGAAGAAACTAAGTTAGAGACAGAAGACCAGTACGTTTTGATGTCAAAATTTATCCATAACCCAAGTAGGATAATTCAAAACCTAGAAGAATTTTTTAAAGTTGGATCTTACTTCGTAATATTCATTAGTAGTAGTGATAGTGATCTAATTATCACTAACTAATTTACACTTATGAAATGGTGTTGAAGTGTGAATTAAATGAGATCTCATCGTAATCAAAACCTTACAACTGGTATAAAATGATTTTGTTTTCACCCTCTGACTTCTTAAAAATAGAACTAACTAAAAAATTATTAAAAAAACCAATCCAAACAAAATATTTAGAAGCGGAACATACTTGGAAGATCCCAGGGGTCGAATTTGTAGATATCAACTTGTTTGATAAGCTCGATACTGATTGGTCTCTTCTCAACCTTGCGACGCAGATAAAACCCTACAAGTTCTTCGTCTGTGGGATGAAACCTAAACCCAGGAAGCTGAACATCATCATCATCATCATCATGCTTACTAGCGCAATTCATGTTAATACTCATCTTCTCCACTTCCATCTCTCTCTCTCTCTCTTCTGTGAATACTAATGAACTTCGAGACGAGCATTTATATAAATGGGAACTACAAAGAGAGATAGCATCTGAGTCAAGTCATGAGCTTTGACTCTCATTTGTGGGCCCAAATATCTTAGAACTTGAAAGAGTCATCGTTTTAATTTGCTCACCGCAAGTTATGATTGAAGACTTGAAAATTATATGGCCAAAATAGAGAGAGAGAGAGATTTTTCTGTAGTTGACAAGAAAGTAAGGGGGGAAGGAAGGGTGTGCTGGTCAAATGTGGAGATCATGGAAAGAGCATCACATCCATGGTCCCAAATTTCTTACTTAAAATTAGGAAATTGACTTATGAATCGAAAATTTATATAAAATTTTATATTAGAATGGTATGATAATGATAATTTTAAAATTATAAGTTCTGTTGATAGACTTTGTTTTTAAAGTATAGGCAATAATATCATTCTAGATCCAAATTTTACAATTTTTTTTAAAACAGTGCTAGGACCTAGCACCCCCCACCTCCACGTGGGAGGCTGTGAGAGCAAGACTAAAAGAAAAAGAAAAAAAAAAAAATTTGTTTTTTGAGCCAATCAAAAAACAATGAGGGTGCTGGGAGCCTAAGGCATTTTTCTTTTTTTATTTGTATAGCATGTGTAGCCCTATTATCAAAATTTTACAATTCTGTTGATGTTTGTTGCTTTTCTCTTGCTTTATTGATATTTTTATTGTATTTTGTATCCTACTTATCATCAATAAAATTCTCTTTCTTTTGCTTATAAAAAAAAAAATGTATAACACTATTATTAAAAGTAAGAAAAAAATTATATTTGTAATTTCTATAATTTGTCTCTTATGTTAATTTGATCATTTTAATTTTAATTGTATAAATTTTATTATTAAAATTATTATATTGTGTCAATTTAGTTCAACTTATAATTTTCTTTTAGAAACTAGACTAAAGGAGTTTAATAATTCATTTACTTTTCTCAAACTATTAACAGTAAAAATACTATTGTCATATTATTTTGGATCAATTTTCTGTAAGAATAGTTTTTCTTATTTTATTTCATCTTTTATGCTTATTTATATAACAAATTACATATGTATATGTCTAATTTATTATATTTAAAAAATAATATGACCAGTTATGACACATGAAAAATTATATTAAAAAATTAAAATAAAATATTTCGAGGATATATAACATCCCTTTATGTATTATTATAGAGGCAGGTGGCATTATGTACAGGCGAGTTGGGAAATGGCCAAATTTGTCAATAATCTCCTACTGAGGATGACGTTTACCAGTTGTTTTCACTTTTACTGTTAGCTAAAATTGATGAGCGTATTGGGGTCTCATACAAAATTTTTATTTTTGTATTGCTGGGAAAAGTTGCATTTATAATTTTATGATAGTTAAAGTTCCTTTAATAGGCTTGTTTTGCTCAAATTGCATGGATGAGTTTTCTTATGAGTTCATGAACTCAATTTTATTTTCCTAAGTTTTAAACCTCTACTATCTTTTCTCAGCTTAATTTGTTGGAAAATTGCTTTGAAAAATCTTTATTTTTAATTAAATTTGAGCATTAATTCAGGTGGGATCCAAACATTATTTTTAATATTTGTCATTGGGTTCATATTTATTGCTGCGTAGTAAATAAAACCATGCATTTGGTTGCTCAAAACTATTTCTAGATGAATGAGAATTCAACGCGCATTTTCGGATTCGTGAAAATGGTTTTAAGTGAGTTTCCTACACATTTGTGAAATGCGCTTGTCTCACATTGGAAAGGCTTATGAATTTGTGTGAGTTTATATACTCTAACTTGGGATACTTGGGATGGGCCCGAAGGGGTATCCAAATTTGTGGAAGGGTGAGATTATGGATAAAGTGAACTAGACTCATTAGACCCAAAACAAAAACCGCATACGCGACTTGCCTCTGGCCAACTGGGCCTAGATGAGGGTGCGTGGTGTGAAGTTGGGCTTGTCCGGCCCAATAGTTATTTTTTTGGGCCAAAAACATTTGTAATTTAGTTATTTATTTATTAATTTTGGTTTCAAAATTCAAAATAAATTGGTCCAGATTTTCTTTCACTCAAACAGATCCCTAACGGGTTCATACCCACCCGAACAGGTTCAAAGGGTTCAAAATAGGTTCATTCAAACCAGACAGATCTGTATCTACCCAAACAGGGTTTTTTTTTTTTTTTTTTTTTTTTTTTTTTTTTTTTTTTTTTCTGAATCTATCCCAACAGTTGCTTATTTGTTGGCACCTATTCGAATAGCCACCAATTTTCCTATATATACCCTGCCATTCAAGTATTTTATTGCATCGAAAATTTTCCAAACTTCTACCTTTTTTCTTTAGTTCGTTCTTCTGTGCTCTAGGATCTTTTTTGCATTTTTTTTTTTTAGGAAAAGAAAGAGAAAGAGTTACAACATAATTTGGTTCACAAACATGATTTTGTAGTGCTGCAAATCAAGTAGTAGTCGTTACATCCTAGGAAGTAGACTCCATTAAAACTCGAAACATTGGAGCAAGGGCAAAATCTATTCTAAGGAGATTATGTCCAACACAAACCTCAACTTTAATTTCTGTAAGCATTTAATTTCGAAATTTAATTTATATAATTTTTTTTCTCAATTATTTTATTTTGTTGTTTATTTTAATTATACATTTAATTTACACACGCACACCGCTGAATGAATAATCTTAAGGTAGATTTTCATTTTTATTTTTTTCTGTGTTAGACAGACGAATTTTGTTTCAAAAAATTAAATAGTAGTCATATATTGTTTAATGATTTATTTGATAACATAGTAGTAATATACTGTTTATCATTGGAATTTTGTTACAAAATATTATTTTATTTTTTGTGTGTAAATTTTTTTCTGTATAAATTTGTGATTGTTGTCTTAATATTTTGTCAAAATTATGACAACTGAAATAAACAGTATTGAGATTGTTATTACTCAAACCACACCTGTTGTGCTAGTGATGACTCTGGCAATATTGGTAAATCATAGGGAGAAGCCAAAAAATTCAATAGAAATGATTTTAAAAGATGGCACAAAAGATGATGTTTTATCTTACCACATTGAATTTGCTCGTTTCACTCAATGAAAAAGCACCGGCATGAACGAGGGAGAAACTGACCGACAAATGGTTGCCGCAGTCAATGCATGAAAACATGGTGATTTTTTGTGTCGGAATTATATCCTCAATGGGTTAGACGATATATTGTACAATGTGTATAGTGTCAAAAGCACTACTAAAGACCTGTGAATCTCTAGATCATAAATATAGACAGAGGATGCCGGTACAAAGAAATTTGTTGTCGATCATTTTCTGGATTTTAAAATGATGGATTCCAAAATAGTTATTAGTTAGGTTCAAGATCTCCAATTAATTCTCCATGACATACATGCAAAAGAGATGATTTTCAATGAAACTTTCAAAAGTAGCGGCAATCATTAAAAAGTTGCTACCATCTTGGAAAGATTTCAAGAATTAC